AGGTCACAAATGACAGAAATGGAGGACAGCAAACGACTGGATATAGAGTTCAAAACCACGGTTCTAAGATTTTTCAAGAATTTTATGGAAACCGCCGATAAATGTATTGAGATCCTTAAGAAATCTAGTGAGACCCTCGATGTTGTGATAAAGGACCAACTAGAAATTAAGCATACACTGACTGAAATAAAGAATATTATACAGACTCCCAACAGCAGACCAGAGGATCGCAAGAATCAAGTCAAAGATTTGAAATACGAAGAAGCAAAAAACACCCAACCGGAAAAGCAAAATGAAAAAAGAATCCAAAAATACGAAGATAGTGTAAGGAGCCTCTGGGACAACTTCAAGCGTACCAACATCAGAATTATAGGGGTACCAGAAGAAGAGAGAGGGCAAGATATTGAAAACCTATTTGAAGAAATAATGACAGAAAACTTCCCCTACCTGGTGAAAGAAATAGACTTCCAAGTCCAGGAAGTGCAGAGAACCCCAAACAAAAGGAATCCAAAGAGGACCACACCAAGACACATCATAATTAAAATGCCAAGAGCAAAAGACAAAGAGAGAATCTTAAAAGCAGCAAGAGAAAAAAAGTCAGTTACCTATAAGGGAGTACCCATACGACTGTCAGCTGATTTCTCAACAGAAACTTTGCAGGCCAGAAGGGAGTGGCAAGAAATATTCAAAGTGATGAATAGCAAGAACCTACAACCAAGATTACTTTATCCAGCAAAGCTATCATTCAGAATTGAAGGTCAGATAAAGAGCTTCACAGATAAGAAAAAGCTAAAGGAGTTCATCACCACCAAACCAGTATTATATGAAATGCTGAAAGGTATCCTTTAAGAAGAGGAGGAAGAAGAAAAAGGTAAAGATACAAATTATGAACAACAAATACACATCTATCAACAAGTGAATCTAAAAATCAAGTGAATAAATAATCTGATGAACAAATAAGCTGGTGATTATAATAGAATCAGGGGCATAGAAAGGGGGAGGACTGACAATTCTTGGGTGGAAAGGGGTGTGGGCGGTGCGGGAAGAGACTGGAAAAAAATCATACACCTATGGATTTTGGGGGGGTGGGGGTAAGGGCAGAGGATGGGGTGGGAACTGGGTGGAGGGGAGCTATGGGGGAAAAAAGAGGAACAACTGTAATAATCTGAACAATAAATATTTAATTAAAAAAAAAGAAACTGTATTCTGAATCCAAGTAACTTAAGTTTAGGTACCCAGCCAGGCTGAAGGTGGGGCTTTGTGCACTCTAAATGCACAGAATGGTCAGTCACCAGCAAGGAAGCTTACCCTCTGTGCTGTAGCCGTATGAGCAATGCAAAGAAAAACAACCATCTGAAATGAAGACAGCCAAATACCATGTTTATCCCTCAAATAGGCCGCATTAAGACTTGGAAGCCTACTCAACCACAAAGACTTCTTGATGCCAGCATCACTGACCAAATACCAAGTACCATTACACCACATCTAAAGCAAAACTTGGCCGGCTTAATGATACTTTCCACTCGTAGAAACACCCGTCCCCCACCATGGTGGGGGAGTGTTGTGCCCCTCTATGGTCGGGGTAACTGGTCTTGTCACAAAAGTTTTGTTACTGTGATGCACATTTCTTAGTGATTTACAGTCTGCCTGCGGCTCCCAACAGCACAAATCAAGCAACACAAAAGGCTTCAGGGATAAACTCAGCACCTTGAAGTGGGAAGTAGTCTCAGGATACATTTTAGTTTTAATAAATGTATTGCCTTTGGAAAAACCTTGATGTTTACAAATAAATTCAAAGATCGGATACTCAAATGCTCAATATTAAACTAAAGGGAAAAAATATCTGCTGTTCTAAGACTTAGAACACAAGGGAACAGTATACTCTTCATTCTAGGCAGCCAAGTAGCCAGACCTCTCATCCTAGTCAGTTGAAGAATCAGTCTTACTATCATTAATTCAAAACTCTGTATTAGCTATACCATCTAATAAAGTGGGGATAAGTGAAATTAAATATGACCTAAAATTCAAAAGCATTTCCATGTAGAAACATGCTAGTACCCCATCTTTTTTTTTTTTTTTTACTTTAGAGTATCACCTTCGGTGCAATATGTATAAAGAAACGAGAATCCAGAATTGAGAACAAGATACCCACTTAGGGGAATTTGACACATCTTACCATGTAGTTGTCTGAAAGTGAGCTTTCTAAAATGATTCTAAACAAATGTTATAGCGACAACTTAATGCCAAGAGAAATTTGACATAGTAAATATAAATTCTGTCAGATATTAAGTTTGAGTTGCTCAGCAACGAATAATTGTCCATTCAACTCAGATGCATCCTCTTTGCAAAAATAGTACCACTTAAGCAGCAGAGCTATAAAGTAATGAATACATTAACCTCTCTCCCTGTAGACCAGGAAGTGCGAATGGATCCTGAACTACGAGGTCAGCAGGATGGGGGAGCAGGGGAGGGCTTTGTGAATTACTATAGCAAATAAAATATTCCACACATAGACTTCTAATTTATGTTTTATTGCATTATGAAAATAATACATTTGGCAAAGTAATCTAGACTCCAAGTTGAAATAAAAACTCTCAAAAGTGTACTGATTTTTTAAAATGTGAAATATTAGATGTATTCTAACATCCTAGCATTCATATTAAGCCGATAATCCAGTAAACCTAATAATTGCATATGAAATGACAAGGTGATTTTGCATTCATCCATTTTAATAGCACAAATCTCGAGAGAACTGAACTTCATTTGATCAAAACCAATGCATTAAAGAAATTCCTGTTCAGAAGACAATTTGAAACGCTATCCCACTTTTTATTTCCTTTGCTTCTACAAGTTGCATTTTCATCCGTACCACAAGATACATTTCTCATAATCACACATTGTAGCGGTTTTAGATGCTGCCCAACTATCTTTACAGGTAAACTAGTATATTATTTAAAAAATTGCTGATTTTGCCCTGGCCGATTACTCAGCAGCAGAGCCTCAGCCCATAGATGGAAGTGTCGCAGGTGGATCCGGCCAAGGGCATAGACCGCAATTGCAGGCTCAATCCTCTACCCTGCTGGGGGCACATGCAAGAGGCACCAAATCAATGTCTCTCTCTCTCTCACACATTGATTTTACTCTCTCCCCCTCCCACTCGCTCTAAAAAATGTTAAAAATATCCTCATGTGAGGATTAACAACGAAGTTGACTTTACAAATGTAAAAATGCATAAATACATGCCTATCTACACCAGCAAAGCGAAATACTCTTGAGCCTCAATGTTTTCACAGGTCACACCTTCTGGCCACGATTTCATGGATGACTTTCCATGCTAAAGTGTTATGGCCCACTACCACTGCTCACAGCACTGTTGACAGATATAGTTAATAAATCCTAACTGGATTAAATTTATCTAATAATTAACACTTTCCCACTAATTTCTCCCCTGCTATTCAGAACTGAAAAGCTACATTTAAAAAAATGTAATAGGATAATGTTTTATTTTAAAGGGAAAAGTGCTACAGATGTATTACCTGTATATTTTTACTTTTTTGACCAGCAAGAATTTCAAATTCTTTTTGCATGCTGGCCAAAAGGGAAATTTTAATCATTGAAATTAAAATTAATCATTACAATTCTTTAGATCGTTTCATCTGACTTTGCTGGTGTTAAGAAAATGTGCCTAAAATTACTCTTTTAATAAAGTCACACCTGACCCTGGCTGGATTTCTCAGTGGTTAGAGCACCAGCACATGGACTAGAGGGTGGCAGGTTCAATTCCTGGTCAAGGGCACATAACTCGGCTGCAGGCTCAATCCCTGGCCCTGGCCAGGGTGCATGGGGGAGGCAACCAATCCATGTGTCTCTCTCACATCTATGTTTCTCTCTCTCTCTCTCCTTTTCCCCTTCTATAAAAATTAAATTAAATTAAAAAAATCAATGGAAAAATATCAGTTGAGGATTTTAAAAAAATTCACATCTAAATCAGTTACGAGTAGAACTGACATTTTCATGAAGCAAAGTCTAAGTGCACCTATGCACACCTGTGGAAATTTACTTCCAAATGGGCATCAGTATCTTAAATCAGCGGAACAAGGTTCCTCAGTTTAACTACAGAAGTAGTCCTTCTATCCTAAAGATATTCATGAGCATTCTACAATTTTCTGTATAAAAAGCAACAAGTGTGATCTATGATCAACATATGAAACATAAATATGAAATTAAGCTATAGATCAAAATGCAGATCTCTCATAGAGTTAAGTGACAGCATTTTGGTACATTCACCATTGTTGTACTTTATTTAATAAAGATATACATTTGCCCTTGCAAAAATAACAATCGCAAGTTTACAAATAAACCACAGACCTCAAAGTCATGATTGCTAAAACTTCAACCTAAAGCAACAAAGTAAATCTATTTGTTTACAAATGGTCCATGGCACAATTAAAATAAAAATATCAAAAGGTCACAGGGTCCTAAAGAACAGGTTCATTGACAATAATTTCATAAATATGCTAAAGAAAATTTCAAGATTTCTTAACATGTTTACAATCTGTTCTCCTTGGCACAATACCCCTCAACAAAATAAGGTTAATAGGTCACTAAAAAAAAATTTTGCATTTAAAATTTGCCTCATTTTAACATTTTTGCAACATTAAAAAAAGTGTGTGTGATTTTTCTCCAGTACAGTAAATCAGTATTGTTCTTATTTCGACTACCACATATTCATAGATATATCTAGCTGCTGTGAACCCAAGTCAAGCCAGTCAGTAGTATGTTACCCTACAAACATAAACGGAGCCAAATCGTCCTGGTATTTTTAGTCATAGCAATTTAAGTAGTCAAAATGCAAAATTGTAGTTGCCATCCAAATCACCCAAAAGCATTATGATACAGTGTCAGAAATTGTTTGCATCAGTTTTATAAGTTCATCTGTTTACTTCAGGTATCTGAAACTAAAAAAGAGGTTTTATTTTTGATAAAAATGTACTCAAATATTTCATAACATTAGTATTTATTGCTTTATATGAATACTGTATTGAAAGCCCAAGCATTCAGTTTACACACAGAAATTTACAGTTATATACCGCGTCACAAAGGCAGTGAACACATTACATCCTACAAAATCTACTTTACAGAAATTTAAAAATTCTAAATATCAAAAGGTACAGCCAAAGAAACAGGTATAAATTTGGCAGCCAGTAATTTGACAGGAAAATTGCATCTTACATGACATTAGATATGTGAATTTGAAAATATTGAGTTTACAGTAATTATTGTGCTTTCTGTTGATCTGAAAAATATAACACTGGCTGTTGAAGAAGCATGTTCAAAAATATTTAATTCACTTCAAAATGTCATACAAATTATGGTGATTTCTATGCACCCCTAAAGCTTCAGTCATTTAGCTCCAGTACATTACTAAAGTAATATATTAATTCTTCCAGTACAGTGGTGTTTCATATCATTGACATATTATACTCTAGAATAATTTAGAAAGAAATGTGTAATATTCACAATGTTCAGAAAAGCAAGCAAAAAAGTTAAGGAAACTGCTCAGTTCTGAGACGTTCTCATGTCAGCTTTATAAGCATTCATTCTACAAAATAGTAAGCTCATGTTTGAACACAATTTCCAAGATAAAGCACATTTTCTCATAAATAATGAAGTCGTTTCAGGCACCTCAGAGGTATACAAAAGAATTTGTTTGAACAGATCTCTTGGAATGTGTTTAACCTGGTATTTCAACAGACTCTAGATTTCCAGGGTTTCACAAGGGCCAAATTTTATTTGAGTTACTTAGAAGAGAAAGAAACTGTCTTCTGAAAGAGTGAACTCAGTCATGACCAATAGAAAAAGTATCCACTGTATTTATTCATCTCTTATAGAAACAGAAAAATATAACATTTCCCCCCTTAGAATAATATATATGTGTATATATGTATATATATATATATGTATGCATATATGACTTAAAGTTCCATTGTACAGTCAAACAATAAAATCTGGAAATCAGCATGAAACCCTAAAATTCACGTTAAAATGTTGAAACTATGACCAAAATATGAAAACTGCTAGAGCTGTCAGAAAAAGACAAGACAAAAAGCTTTTTTGTGTATGTATAAACTAAATAATCTCCAAAAGGTTTTCAAAATTATAATTACTTTCCAGTTAAAAAACTTTAATTCTAAAAAAAAAAAATCTATACACACAAACCACTGATTTGACCAAACCAAAACAGTCAGCGGTAAGCAGGACCTATGGAACCAATATTCATAGTTCTTACATGTACAACTCTTTCAGGATTTATCCCACAAAATACTTTATATTACAACCTGCTTCTCTTGTAAAACTAAAGGTCCACTTTATTACATAAAAGTTTTATACAGTGTAAAACCAGAACTGTATGTAAAATACTGTCTCTAATTAGTCTTGTTCCATTGGTTCCTCTGTGACCTCTGTGGCTGCATCATCGTTTTCCATGGATGATTCTGAGAGAACCTCTCCAGTCTCACTAGAGCTGGGTTCTGCCAATTCCTCTGTTTCATGGCAATCAGAGCCACCACTGCCAGGGCCTGTGTTCTCACTACCTTCAGAATGGAAATCTTTCCCGGCTTGAGTCAGACCAGATTCCTCCATCTGATTATTTTCCTCAGAAGTCTCTTCATTCACAGTTAAGGCATCAGATTCTTTTTCTTGATTTTTTCTTTCAGGGATCATTTCTCTTGATGTCATAAAAGACTCTAAAAATAAGCAAATGTTGTAGTTAAATTTTATTTTCAAAATACCTCCAATTTCATGAATTGTGATATTCTACAGTTCAAAATCATATTCCCTGAAATTGAGCAGCAACTATATAAATGTGGGAGAAAAGCCCAACATCAGCATTATGTTACGTTCTTTATTTGAGGATCTCCTTACTCCACCCTTTTACAGATGGTTTCTAAATACCTTCTTCTTCCTCCTCTTCCTCCTCCTCTTCCTCCTCTTCTGTACAGTGTTGCCTGGAACAACCACTTTCTTTGTCTTTATCCTGAGATGAAGATGATGCATCTGTTTCTTCTACCAGAACGGAAGAAATTTCACTGGAAGATGTCTGACTGGCTGTCTCCCTGACTTCACTTTCTCTGTCAAACCGAAGTCTTTTTACCTCATGCCCCTCAGCGTCCACAGCATCTTCACCTGGATGTTTATTTTTCATCGGGCTCACTGAGGAGCTTTCTGATCCAGGTGTCGGAGAATGACTGTAAATGGTTTTAATAAAATTATTTTCTTCATCCTCTACATTCTCATTTTAAAGATCTAATTATTTTTTTAAATTGTATTTCAGTGTCAAAGTTAAATTATACCACCTGGGCCAAGAGAACAGGAGAAAATTTTCAAGGGAACCTAAACTGTTTAATGAATATTTACCATTTGGAACTAGTCAACAAGTTATATGACCTTTCTGGTTCAATTCTCCAGTAAGTTAAATGTTCTCCTATAATAAAACTATAAGTCTTCCATATGGGCATGCTCTTTAAATCCTCTCACTCATTCAGTCTTCTTTCCCTTAAATGATGCAGAAAATTTGATGAGATATAAATGTTTCATTTTATGATCTATATAAGAAATTATTCACAAAATTTCAACTCATTTACAAATATATTTTCTAGTAACTTTCAAAAAAAAAATTAAAATACATCATGACCACCTTATTTTCTTAAGACCCCATTATAAGGAGGACCTCCCCAATTTAGCAGTTTTAGTCTTTTCTATGCCCATCTTCAGTATGCGCTAAAAGCTCCTATCACATTAAAACCTGTCCTATACCTCAAAACCTTAGTAAATTATAGATAGTAAACGAGTGCTGAAAATCACCAATGTTAATATTTTATAAACAGTTTTTGTTTTTAAATATAAATCTAAAACACACCTGTGACTTTTGTCCTCAGTTTGCTGTAAGTTTGACTCTTTGTCATCTGTGCTCTCAGGCAAGCCATTGGTTGTCATGGGGACTGACATAGAAACCTTTGGTCGATTAAGTGGCCTAGGTGTTCCTGGCCCATTGATATTAGCCCTGTGGTAAGACAAGTGAACATCATTTTCCCATTTTGCTGAAAGTCATCCCTTTCAAGGTCATTCTGACTTTCAGATCCACATTAACTAATTCTGTTTAGTATATTTTATTATCCTCTTAATGCCTAATTTTTAAAAAAGAATATCGAGCCTGCTACTCAAAACTAAAATATGTAAACTCTTTCTTTGGATATTAAAAATCAAGAGTCTTACCTTTCAGTATAAGTTGGTGAATTTCCAGGAAACATAACACCATTCATTCGATTTAAACTATTAGAATTGTTTTTCCTATGAGACAAAACAAACACTGTTATGGATGGTTTCATGTATTAGTTTTGACAGGAATCAAGAATTTACATCTTTTGTAAGATATCACTGTTGCAAAACCAAACAATAAGACCTCTGTGAGAAGTAACAATTGTGGGATTATCTTAATAACATGTATATTCTTGAAAAAATTCTGAAAAGAAATTTAGTTTTTGTCTATTAAATCAGAGATTTTTTTTAACCTTAACACGTTAAACGCCCAGTCAGTCACCGGTGACTGACACTATACTTTCTGTCCAGAAGACAAAACAGGCTGGCGCTTAACATGTTAAATCAACTTTTCTCAATGGGAGGCAACGTCCTCCTCACAATCCATCTACCCCACACTGCATCCTGGAAGACATTGGACAGTGTCTGAAGACTCTTTTGGGGGAAAAGGGGATACTAGTGACAGCCAAGGAGTAGAGGCCAGGGGCACTGCTAAACTTCCTGTAATTTCCAAGATATCCACTCATTAACAAAACATAAATAGTGCCAAGGACTGTATCCTTAACCGATATCTTAATTTGCTATATAAATCTGGAGAACTGGAAACAGTTTTCCATCATGAAGAGGAATGTAATCAAGTAGCCAAATTTCTAAAGATGCCCTGGAAAGGTATCTAGGATAAGATCCCAGGGCCCTGAGTGCCATGACAATACATAAATCCAACAACGTGAAGATTATGGTAAATCACAAATCTCCTTAATCCAAACCCCTTTATTGCAAAAACACACAGGTAATATTATTGGTAATATTCAATTTTGGAAACTGGGTGATAGATTCACAGGTATTTATAAATGTAATTATGTTTCATTACATATAAAATAAATGCAACTTTTTAAGACTAACATATTAGAAACAGAAAAGTCTCTCTACTTACTCTGAAGAAGGATATACACAGCTAACCACCATCACATTCTGCAAGCAAAAATTGGTGATTTAACATGAGGAAAAGTACTACAGCGTAAGTTTAATCATTTGTTTTTAATTTCTCAAATTCATCCTGGTAGGTTAAGTTTCTATTTATTCTGATTTTACTAACAAAAATTTTAAAATAAAACTTACAACAACAAAAGACCAAAATCTAATATCCTACTAATACATTTATTTTTTTTTACTCTACTTTAGTTACTTTGGAGCCCTAACATTATATATTTCATGTAATAAAGTAGAACCACCCTGTCCTTATTGTAGTTAGAATCACCCCCAAGATACTTAGACATTGAAGTTTTAGGCCAAGTATAAATGAACTTCCTTATAAAGCAGTACCAATCAAAGCCTGATGTGTAGTATCATATACCACAAGAGATTAAAAACATTAATCTGGTAAGGCCTTATGATCTACTGTAAATGACTAAGTAACAGTTTTGGATTCCAGCTCCCAGGGTAAATAAACTGAATTTGAATTATAATCTTAAAATGAACACTGGACTAGGATCAATCACCAAGTGAGGGGATTAGCCACCCACTGGTCCCATCTTGGTTTCCAGGGCTCCTTCACCTTCTTTACCCAAGTCAACTTCCTCAAATACCTTGCTGTCTTTGCTCATCATGCTCTTCCCTCAGTCTGAAATGCCCTTTCCTTATTACTAATATCACCTCACTCACAGAAAACCTAATGTTTTCTTCATTCTTCAAGCTGACCTTTACCTTTCTCAACATCTAATTTAATGCTTTGTATCAGTGATTTTCCAGAGTTGTGTACATCTCAATTCCAGAACTGAAATAAATGAATTCCATGGATTAACACGTTTGCAAAACACTCTATTAAAGTTAAAATATCAATTATAGAACTTCATAGAACATTTAATATATTGATGTATACTATGAATATCCAGGAGAGAATCCTAAGTTGCTTTCCTAAACTTAATTGATCATAAGCCCTCCTCTGCCCCTCTATTAAATTCTCCGAAACTCTGACCACAATTCAGACAACAATTTGGGAAAAACTTCAAGTAGGTTGAGAAACTTATTTCAAGAAAAGGTGACTACAACAACTCTTACTCAATGCGTTTTTTCTTAAATCTATTATGTTACAGTTTAATATAATTTCAATTAACAAAATATATACCTTCTCTACTCCTCTGAGAAATTTGTCTGTTCCTGTGTAATTTCTCCTTGGATCTGTTAGCAATTCACATAGCCGCTGAATAGTGAAAGGGATACTGTAAAAGAATATAATTTTATAGTTTGAGGTCCATTAATTATCAAGAAAATTAGAAACATTATCAGTCTCACTTTTTAAAGCTTTTATCTAGTCAAGCATGTGTTAAGCTACAAAAGAAAATGCTACAATAGGGGAATGAATGAGTCATTTAAAAACAGGCAAGACAATAGGCACACCTATCTTTTTATTTACAAAGAAAACAATTTTCCCTTCCTTGCCTTAAAAAGCAATACAGAATATCCAAAATTAACAGAAAGTTTAAAAACTGAAAAAAAAACTGTTTCAACTCAAAATTTTTTCCTCAATCATTCTTTTGCACACAAAGATTTCTTTAAAGTCTTCAAAAAAACTATGTTTTGTTATCAGATAGAATAAGACAAATAACTCCAATGGAAAAGTACTAGAGGTATGGTTCTGCTTTATAATTATAACTAGAGGCCCGTTGCATGAATTCGTGCACAGGTGGGGTCCCTTGGCCTGGCAGGCAATCGGGGCTGGCTGGCTGGGGGGAGGGACCACGGGAGGTTGGCCGGCCATGGGAGGTTGGCTGTGGGAGTGCACCTGACCACCAGGGGGCCGCTCCTGTGTTAAGCATCTGTCCCCTGGTGGTCAGTGCGCATTCTAGCTACTGGCCGGCTGTCTGGTCATAACAGTCACTTAGGCTTTGATATATATAGGTACATCTTAAGTGTACTACATGATTTCAGAGTATAGCAATATACCTGAACCTTAGCCCCTCTTCTAGATCACTACTCTCCAAACCTTAAACACACACATAGTCACCACCACCACCTGTTACTTCCTCAGTAAATACCTCATAGTGACACTGTAATTAAAAGTTTATATATTAACCAAAAATAAACAAAAAAGCACCCTGTGTTAAGAATTTTAAAATCCTTGCCCTGCCTAGTTTGGCTCAGTGGATAGAGCGTCGGCCTGTGGTCTAAAGGGTCCCGGGTTCAATTCCAGTCAAGGGCATGTACCTTGGTTGCGGGCACATCCCCAATAGGGGGTATGCAGGAGGCAGCTGATCGATGTCTCTCTCATCGATGTTTCTAACTCTCTATCCCTCTCCCTTCCTCTCTGTAAAAAATCAATAAAAGAACATGCTTAAAAAAAAAAAAAAGAATTTTAAAATCCTTAACTGGCAAATACTTACACAGATAATGTCTTTCCATCAAGTAAATTTCTTTCACACATCAAAAGCTAATACTTTCTCTTAAATTAAAATGAGCTTTAAAAAATGAGTATATTTAAGCTTCCCATTTAACACATTTACACTAAATGTTTGGCTAATTTTCTCTAGGAAGGTTAAGTAAAACTGCAGCCAATTATGAACTATTTATGTTTGGGTGATTATCATTACCACTTTCAGGAGGAAGATGTACATTACGTTGCATAGCAATGTCGGCAAAATTCATTTTCATTCACAGACACTTTCAGAAGCCTTTAAAGTCATTTTGTCAAATGCTCAAGAGATGGCACTAAATGTCAAACACTTCCCTTCCTCACTTGAACAGGATTATATATCCTTTACTTGTAAATAACAGAATCCATTGGAAATTTTAACATTGTAATTTTGAACTCTGCACTAAAAGGTGTTTTTACATACAGTTAATATTTTCAGAGAACCAAGATGGCGGCAAAAGGTATAGACCTGTGCGTGCTGCCTCCCACAACAACATTGAAACTACCAACTATAAGACAAAACAGCTGTCATTCAGAACCATGGGAAAGCTGGCCCAGTGGAAGTTCTACAACTGGAAGGAAAGAAAGAAGCGCACTGAGACTGAGTAGGATGTGCAGAGGCGCCAAGAACAGAGGTACGGAGTCGAGCGCCAGGCGGGCTGCAACTGGATTCGCGGTTTTTTTGAATCGGAAGGGGATACAAGTTCTCGAATCCACTGAGCTTGTTTGGGGCAGGATTCTGAGGTCCCAGACCCCTACGGGGAGAGGCGGGACTGTCTTGCAGCGGGTCGGAGAGCAAGGGTGGCTTTCTCGCAGAGCTGCTCACCGGCACTCGGCACTCCGGGACGTGGGGACGCGGAGACTGGAGGAGACGCTGAGGACAACCATTGTTGTTTGCTCCGCCCTGGTGATTCTCTGAGACCCCGCCCTACTCAATTTACATCCCCACCCAAGCTGTGCCAGTGGCACAAAAGGAACCACCTGCGCTTTTGCAGCCTAACCCAACAAACTGCAGATTTCAACTCCTC